CTCAGATGAGCATGTCACCCTGTGCCAGCACAGCCCTCAGATAGCCACGTGTTCTGCGCAGGACCCAGACTTGGCCCCTTGGCAGCAGCCCAGGACAGGACGTCACCATGGTCTGATGTCTGCCTGTTCTCTCCACTGTCGAAACTCCAGTTCTCCCTTTCTCCACAGTGTATGAACTCCTCAGCTTTGCTTTTCCACCACACACTCCATTTTTCCAACATCTCTCCATCACACATTACCCATTGTAGTGATGCCTGCTGCAGGTGCTTGGCTGTCTTTCTTCCTACCGATGTGGCCAGGGCTTCCTTTGGCCATGAGCATCTTGTGGATCAAACTCAGGTCACCAGGCTTGGCAGCAAGCCCCTTTACCCACCAAGCCATCTCAACACCCCTTTTAGTTTTTGTCAGCACCTGGACAGAGAAACTAAGACCAAGAGGGACAGGCTCTCACTAAGACTCCCAGGCTGCCCTTGAACTCATTCTGACCCAAGCAACCTCAAACATTCAATCTTCCTTTCTTAGCCTCCTGAGTAGCCCAGGCCTGCATTACCTTGCTCAGCTACCTTACATTGTTTTTGTTGTTGTTTTGTTTTTCCAGACAAGGTTTCTCTGTGTAGCCCTGGCTGTCCTGGAACTCACTCTGCCAGCTGGCCTCGAACTCAGAAATCCGCCTGCCTCTGCCTCCCAAGTGCTGGGATTAAAGGCGTGCACTGCCACCGCCCAGGGCTACCTTTTAACATTTTTTTTCCAGTGTTGGGGTGAATTGTGCCTTGAGCATGCTCGTGACTGTTCTGCTACTGACTCCCCCAACCCTAGCCCATCTAATTGCTTTTTAAAACTTAAAAAATTTTTTTTTACAGGACAGCAAGGACTACACAGAGAAATCCTGTCTTGAAAAACAAAAAAGAAAAACAACAACAAAAAAATTTTAAAAATATTTGTGAGTGCCTATTTTGCCTGCATGAATGTATGTGCGTCATGAATGTGCCTTGGTGCCTGTAGAGGTCAGAAGAGGGTGCTGAATCCTCGAAACAAATGGCTGTGAGCCACCTCGTGGGTGCTGGGAATCAAACCCTGATCCTCTGTTAGAGCAGCAAGTGCTCTCAACTGCTGAGCCATCTCTCCAGCCTCTTCAGGTCAAGTTTTATTTGCATAATTCACATAACATAAAGTTTTCTTTTAAAAATGTACGTGTTAGCTGGGTGTGGTGGTGCATGCCTTTAATCCCAGCACCAGGGAGGCAGAGGTGGGCAGATCTATGTGAGTTCAAGGCCAGCCTGATCTATAGAGCGAGTTCCAGGACAAGAGCTACACAGAGAAACCCTGACTCGAAAAAAAAAAAAGTACATATTAGTGATTTTTAGTATATTCAAAAAATTATACAACTAGTTATTTTTTGAATAAGAGGACCCCTATGGGTGTGGATTCCTAACAGATGAGCATCCTGCTAGCCTTGGAGACATGTGAGTCCAGGGCTGATCCATCCAGGTCTTGGCTTCTTCTACCAATGCCCAGATGCACAGAAGAACGGATCTCCTCTGGCTAGTTTAAGGCCCTGGGAAACGCAAATTTAACAACAGGAGGAATGGGTGGGAAAACTTCTTGGGGCCAGGTCACCATGTTTGTCCTGCCTCTGTTGCCTGCTTTGGCGCTGATTCCCAGGCTACTTAACAATTCCTTTGTGGCCCTGCTATGAAGTAGGTCACTTTCCCAATAGCTCCTTGCAGACCTACAGTTTAACTTGCCTCAGGGGCATCCCAGCCTCTTAGCACCACTGGACTGCTCAGTAAGCCAGTTTGTATCCAATGGACCCAGCCAAGACATGGCTCCAGGGATCTGCCAGCTAAGATCCTGCACCAAGTTTCCCAATCCACCCAGAGCACAGAAGAGATTTGGTCTAGTCAGGGAAAATTATGTCTTCTGTGTACATAATTTCAAGAGACATTTCTGAGCCTCAGCTTTCTTATTGTCTGCCTTCTGGTTCTGGAATGAAATAGTCTGTAATTTTTTTTTTTTACTTTTTTTTTCTTTTCTATTCATTGATAACCCCATTGGATTTGTGAGGCTGAATGAGAGAAATTATGCATTTTATACACATGTGTTTGGCATGACAGTAAATATCTCCCATGAAAACCTTCCAAAGTTGCCTCCAGTTCCACAGCACGCCTTCCTGGCCCCATGCAGTCTATTTCATGGGGATTGGTACTGAAATCTGGGCACAGTAAGGCTACACACACAGAGCCAGGATGTCCCCAGACCCACTTTCCCTGGCCACAGAGCAGGTGCAGCACGCTTAGGCCTTGGCACAGTGTCCTTGAAGGGAAGCTGGCGATGGGAAACTGATGAGAATCAGGCCAGACTGTCTGAAGCTGGGCTGTAGCTGCAGGGGCCAAGTCGTAAAATTGCTCTTGTGGGCGGAGAGAAAGCGTATTTGCAGAAAGTGCTAGACACATTTTATCTGCCCAGGATGTGTTTGAGCAGAGTGCTTTGGCATTCAAACAAATTGACCCTATTGAGGCTTCAGTCCAAGGTCCCTCCCTCCAAGGTCTCAGGCTGTACCCGCCCTGGTTCTGATCCCTCATAACTACTTGGACCAATAAGTATTGACATAAGCCTCAGGAGAAGTTATTATTTTTCATAAAAAATAGTTATTTCTCAGATAAAGCACACTTTTGATTTTCCTGTGATCTGTCTCTGTCAGTGCTTTGCAAACTAGTCTCTTTAGATTTTCAGCTTTCCACATGCCAAACTGTCATATGAATTTCCCAAGTCCCTGGGGTCCCATGCCCTTTTGCTCCACCATGACAGCCACTCCCATAAAATGTACACAAAGGCCACTGGGGCTTTTACAAATGGTTGAGAGCCATAAACTCCCTGAAAACTGTATTCTCATCCTGCCTGCTGTCTGAGCCCTGCCCCAGGACTGGCTGCATGGGCTGGGATTACAGTGGACTTGCCATCAGTGAGACACAGTTTCAGCAGTAGACACAACCTATATAGTCCCCAGCAACCTGAGGAGTCTCCTCAACCTTCAAGGATCTCCACCCAGGTAACACCAGATCCTTGACTTTGCCACAGATAAGATTTTCAGGATGGGCCAGATGGTAGGGGAGTCGGAGTTCATTAGGAAGAAAGCAACACAAACTTCAGCATAGTGGTTATGGAGAGATGCTCAGAGAAAAAATAGGGCACACCCAATCCTGGATGTTGGCTTCTCAAAGGAGAATCATATAAGTGGCTTTGCAATAGCCATGTATAAAATTTCAGAGGCTGTCATAGTTTCTAGCTCAACAGGTATCTAAGGGATTCTCCCTTCCTCTTTCTCTTTTTCTCTTCCCAATAAGTGAGATTATAGGATGGTTCTGAAGCCATCTTGGATGGAATTACAATCTGGTAAAATAAAACCTTGGGCCACAGAAGATGAAGGAACTTCTTTTCCTGTAAATGAGTTCCTTGTGAAATTCCTAGAAACCTACAGGTTTAGATTGAAAATACTCAAGCATGACTTGTTGCTACTTTAACATCCTTATTTGAAAAGGTTGTCTCTGTGTTGGCAAATGTTAGTGGCATTGGAATTCTTGACTGTCAGCTGGAGACAGGCTTCACCACTCTCCACACTCCCTCATATCCCCAGAAGTTTCCCTATCCCATCCTGCCTCAGTGTAGTTGCCTTCTGTGTAGTTGGGACCTGAAGCTCAGGCTCTCTGTCCTAGGCTGGCTGTTCGGATCCTTCCCACACACCAATCCAGGCTCAAGCAGCCTGTCCTGCTCTCATGCTGCCTCCCCACCCCCACCCCCCACCCCCAGGCAGCTTCCCTGTCAGTCCCTCTGCTCCTCGGTCCTGCTTATTCACCCTCTGGTGACCATTAAAAACCAAACAGCTTCTCTGTATTTGTCTCCCAACCATGTCTTCCTGTTGCAGGATTTTTGATCACACTGTGAAGACTGTTATTTACTGGGGAAAAAACCTATTTCTAGTTGTGGTATGGCTCAGCCTCTTAACACACACCTTTAATCTATGAGCTTTCTGTTTATTGTAAACAGTATTAAATAAAGTCAAGCATTGATCAAGAGGAAGAACAAGAGACCAGTTGACAGGAAGTGAAGGTAGGAAAAACTGTAGAGTGTAAAGGTAGACGGATAGAGAGACATAGAAAGTAGAGATTATATGTTCTCTCTAGTGTTTGGCAAAGAACAGAACATTAGCATAGGAAAGTAGAATAAGTGATTGGAGAAGCCAGATGCGGTGGTGCACATCTGTAATCCCAGTGCAGGGAGGGAAGCAGGACAGACTCAGCCACACAGTGAATTCCATGCCAGTCTTAGAACCCTGTCTAAAAAAGAAGAATCAGGTCTACCTCTCCTGTCTACAGTCTTAGCAGGAAGCCAGCCAACTTTACCAGGTGGTTCTACTGTATCTTGTGGGTTATAAAAAGGTCAAGGGATCATCGTGGACGTTTGAAGTTGACAGGTAAAATCATACGTTGCATGTAAAATCTATGATGCATGTTATATATGAATTATAGGCATATAGCAAATGGTTTTTCAACCTATTTATGTCTTATTAAATCTGCATTTCAGACTGAAAATCTTGGCCAGGTGTTTACTCAACATTCAACGTGGCATGGGCTATTTCCCCTTTCTAAATTTGGCTACCTAGGCCCAGGCCTTTCGCTAGGTGAAAATTGCTTGCGGTTGGGTACGAACTAAGATTGGATAGGGCCAACCAAGACCCTAGAGCAGGGGCGTGGCCAGAAGTACGGGGACGGAGCAGGCCTAAGGAATGAGGCGGGGCCAACATTCTGGGGCGGGAACAGTGCACGGAGGCGGAGCAAAAAAAGCGAGCGGGGCGGGACCTGGAATGACCAGTGCTCGGGGCGGGGCTAGATTACGGGGGCGGGGCGAGAAGAGCGAAGGGTAGAGCCTGGGAAAACTAGCAGATTCGGGGGCGGGGCTAGTGCAGAGGGCGGGGCTGGCGCGCGCAAGCACGTGATGGCCAGGGTGAAAGGTCAACGCGCCGGCGGCACTCCCAACATGGCTGCCGCCCGGGCTGTGGCGCGCGGTCCGGGAGCTGATTCGCGGCGGCCACCCTCTCTTCGATCCGCGCGGCTGCCGCGGCTGCTCTTGCTGCTGGCGGTGGTGGCGGCAGTGGGGCCCCGGGAGAGCAGCGGGGCGCGGCTCTACCGCGTGGGCGAGGACGTCGTGTGGTTGCTGGACAGCGGCAGCGTGCGGTCGGCCACGGGCAACAGCTCAGCCGCGTGGCTGGTGCAGTTCCACTCGTCGTGGTGCGGCCACTGCATCGGCTACGCACCCACCTGGCGAGCGCTGGCGGCGGACGTGCGAGGTGAGGGCCCCGCACTCCTGTGGACGTTCCTCCGACGCAACAGCTGTGTGGGTCGAAGCCCCACAGATGGCTTTCCTGAGGTCGCCAGCTCAGAACACAGGCTTCATCTTGTCCCCAAACACATATCCTAGCCACTACCTGATCAGTGTGACTTTCCCCATACCCAGCAATTGCATTTCAGAGCCTACCCTCTCCACTCTGGAAGATCCCCATTCCTGTCAAACCCCAACCTGGTTTGCTAGGTAGCTGGCCATATGGTGGGCATTGGGCTATGAAACTTAAAAACCCACTCTGGGGACTGCTCTGCAGAAGCAGAAAGATTGCAAAGCGTCTTCTTGCTGGGCTTCTGATTCACTAACTATAGCTTTTAAGAACTCTTCCCACACGTGTTTAGTTATTCTTTAGTGTTAAGTTACTCACCTTTGCAGACTTCAGACCCCTTCGAGCGGCTCCTGTAAGTGGATTTAAGTGGCTGTGCAGTAGCCTTCTCAGTACTGGCTTAGGTTTGGCTTCCCTGGCTTACAACTGTTGAACTAACCTCTAATTACAGATCTCACAGGGCAAGACAACAAATTGTTACTCTTCTTCCTGCACCTTTGGTTTTAGGTCTGGTGTTGAACACTGCTGTGTTCTTCTTAAACAGATTTGCAAAGAAGCCCTTTTTCCAAGTATACAATTGCAAATGACTATTTTAAAATGTTTACCTTCTCTTTCCTCATTGTTGGGGCACTTTGACTTTTATTTTTTTGAAACAGAGTTTCATGATGTTATACAGGCTGACCTTGACTCCACTGACCTCTGCTTTGGCCTTTATGTAGAATCTAATGAAATTGATCTCTTGGGTCTTAAGTTTTCTTTTTCTTTCTTCCTAATACTTATTTTGTTTTGAATTATGTAGGCATGTGTGTGTGTGAGTGAGAGTAGTTTCCCTTGGAGGCCAGAGGTGTTGAAGTCCCCGAAGCTGGAACTCCAGGTTGTCGGGAGCTGTAGGGTGTAAGTGCTGGGAATGGAACTCTGGTCCCCTGAAAGAGCAGTGTGTGGGGTTTTGTTTGTTTCTTTGTTTATGGTTTTTTGAGCCAGAGTTTCTCTGTGTAGTCTTGGCTGTCTTAGAACTCACTCTGTAGACCAGGTTGTGGGGATTTATTTATTTATTTATTATTTTTTGCCACACAGTAGAGGAGAGGATTTTCCATTTCTCGATGCTTGTTGGTGGACCTGCAGGCGACCCTGGCAAGACTTGTTGGCAGCTTTTTGGCTTGTATCAGTTGTGGCTTTCAATCTGGTAACTAACTTGTGTAAGCCACACCAGATGTTATAAGCTGGCTCTTCTGTGACCAAACCAACAGAGAGTGCTGCAATTCTCCCTGAAACTTGAAACAGTTCCAAAAGTGCCACAGTAAAAATTCCCAGCTAAAGCTATGGCTGACTTAATGAACTGCGGTTGTCTTTAAAGAGTGGCTGGCTGCCAGGAAGATGGGGCAAGGTATTGTGAAAGTGAAAGCTGACTGGCAGAAGCAGGTGAGGGCCTGAAGAAGGAAGGATGCCCGAGTCAGGGATGTCAAAGGCTCCCGAAGCAAGTCACCTGGGGAGTTGGTAGATGCTAACCCTAGTGTTATCAGTTTTAACCTAGGCTGCTGGGTGAGTCCTAACATGTTGAAACTGTGAGAACAACTTCCTTAGGAAGCTTTTGACTCTCATTCTGGTCCTCCTGGGATACTGACCTCGGTACCTTCTGCGCAGAATATGGAAAGCACTAGAACCTCCATCTGGCCTCCACTTGGCTATGCTTCCTGATGGCTTCCTGCCTGGGTGATATTAATAGGAGAGAGGACACTTCGGGGTAATCAGTCACCTGTGAGTTGGACATGCAGGCCTTGTATTGGGTTCTCCCCAGCAGTTTCTTCCTGCCTCCGTGAAATAGCACCTAGTGGTTTCTCCTAGCCCCCACCCCAGTCTCTGGTTGGACTGGCTGTGTTGCCATGGGTGGTGATTAGATAGAAGGTGGCTTGTGCTTGCCTTCCTTCCCTTCAGTCTTTTCTAATTGAATGAGCAGCTGGAAGGTCTTGGGGGATGCAGGAGGGGAGTGCATCCCCAGCCTGTGTCTTTGGCAGCTGGAAGGTCTGGAGGGAGGGCGTCCCCAGCTTTCTGTCTTAGGATCAGGACACCTGCCACTTCCTCAAAAACTTATGGTAAAGTTTCTTTGGCTCTTCACTGACTTTGCGGGGAAATAGTGGTTTTCCTTATGAGAGATAGGCTAACGAAAGATCTACTGTTCAGTGGATCCAAAGGCGATTCTAGTATTTCTGTGGCCCTGGCTTAGGCCTTTTTCATCTTAAGTATTTCCCAGAACAAACCCTGCTCTGTTGAAGTCATTTATCTCAAGCTGTCATGTTTAGCATAATCAATCTGGGCTGGCAGTTGACACCGGTGCTTACTCTCCTAGGCACGAAGGATTCCTGGAGAGACCTAGGAGAACAGGAGTGTGCCCTGAAGCCTGTGTTCCTCAACTCTTGGTGACCTCGGGGCTCTTTCTCTCCCCATCAGTCCTCCGTGGAGAGAGGACACTTCTGTGGTTGTCCCTGAAGTTCTTGGTGAAGGACTTGAAAGGGAACAGGAGATCTGGCAGGTACTCACCACGGCATCTGGAATGTGTCTAGATCTGTCTGGCAAGGAGGTGTATAGTCTCTGATATTGTAGATAATGGTACCAGGTGACAGACAGTCCAGGTGATTCCAGAGCCCCATTGGCTCACTTCCTGTGTCCCAAGAGAGGACACTGGGAATTGAGAGTGGGAGGTGTTTGACAGGTGCATAGGCAGAGTGTGCTTTCCACGGGTGGAGAGCACAGGTGAGTGTTCTTTTTATCACTGTCAGCAGTAGTGATGCCTTTATGCCTTCCCTCAGTTCCTCATTCCCAGTGTCTAGTGTCTTCTGCTTGCACAGGGTATTGAAGATGACTGCTTAGTGTTTGCAGGGTGCTCATTATCCATTTCTTGAGAAGAGGCAGAGAGGGACACTAGGAATAGCAATTGCTGAGGGATATGGCAGAGCCAAAGTAACTCTTCATACAAGGGTATTAAAAAGTAAGGACTACTTAGAGAATAGTGGGGTCACTGGTCCCCATAGCCCATACCACACCATACCATACCATACCATACCATACCATACCATACCATAGCTGGTAGTGAGGAAATCTTCTAAGGTCAGCTCAGGAGCTTTGCAGGCCATTTCAGGCTAGACACTTACCATTTAGGATCCTTTGCACCTTTTCAGCAGGTAGAGGGAGAAAAGGTTTGCTGTGTAGCCCAGTCTTGTCTTCAAAGCCGGAATCCTTTTGCATTTGCTTTTTGATGCTGGGGTTACAGGTATGCACTGCCCCACCCAATTGTATAGATAGATTTGGGCCAAAGTTTGCCTAAAGCCAGAATGAGGAGTGATCCTTACCAGAAGGGTTTTGTGACTCATGGCATTTCAGCCCAGGGTATGATGGTGTTCTCAGCCTGGTCGGCTTTCCCCTTCCAGCTGTATTCCTCCTCAGCCACAGCAGACCTCAGGTCCTTTCATCTCACACTGTTTACCACTGCACAGGAACTGATGATCATTTCTCACTAGCCCTGGCTAAAGTTATGTGTGAACTTCACACGGTACCCAGTAGAGATGTTGATGGGGTGTGTTGTTGGCACTAAGAGAATTTTGTCCTAGCTACCTCCTGTCGCTGGAGGATTTGTGTTCTGTTCTCCAGTGTTCCTTGATGACATGGGTTCCCTCGATGAGAATCTGCCAAGTGTGTGTGTGTATGTGTGTGTGTGTGTTTCCTGGAACTAGCTCTGTAGACCAGGCTGGCCTTGAACCCAGACATTTGTCTGCCTCTGCCTTTTGAGTGCTGGGATTACATGTGTATACCACCACACCTGGCTTGAAAATCTGCTTTTTTCCCCCAAAGATTTATTTGTTGTTTATTTTATTTTATGTATATGAGTGCTCTGTTCTAATGCACACCAGAAGAGGAAATCAGATTCTATTACAGTTGATTGTGAGCCACCATGGCTACCATATGATTGCTGGGAATTGAACTCAGGACTCTAGAAGAACAGCCAATACTCTTAACTACTGAGCCATCTCTCTAGCCCCGAGAATCTGCTTTTAATTCTTTGGAAATTATACTTTGGTTCTATAGGGAAGGCTTGTGGTCAGGATTACCATCAGTGGCAAATGACCTTGTTATCAAATATATCTGAAAGGGCAAGCTCCATGCACCCCCGGTTGCTCCTGTCAGTGCTACAGTGATGGTGGTACCACCTTGATGAGGCATCAGACTGCTGAGACAGTGTGGGCAAGCCAGGGCTCTCTCCTTTTCAAGCCAGCAGTTGCCTCATATGGGATTAGAGGTCAGGGTCCACCTATGAAATGATTTCTGTGAGGCTGAAGGAAGAGAGCCAGTGGTGTCTCCACTGTACCTGTATGAGACACTTGGAGCTCAGGGGGGCAGGACATTTCAGAGGAGATGCTAGGATAGCCAGTGGTAGATATCACAGAGACAGGACTCAGGGCAGGCCAGGCCAGAGAGGCCAGAAATGGGCACCATGGTGAGTTGGTCCCTTTGTCCCAATAATGTGGAAAGGAGGACTTACTCCCAGCCCTTGTCTGTGGTGCACATACACAGTGTCTGATAGAATTTGTGCTCACGAGGCCTGCTCCTCTGACTCTCTTGAGATCAGAGGGCATGTTGGCTAAAAAACAAAAAGTGGGGAGGGGGCTGTAATTAGTAAGAATTCTATAGATGCTCATGTGCTAAGACCTATCTCTGTGGCCCTAGAGAGGTCTCAGCCTTGCTCACCTAGCCTAGACATGCTGTAATCTCCAGGACAGCCTACAGCTCTCACTGGCTGATGACTGCTGTTCTGGTCAAGGTCCACACCTTTACCTTCATGAACCTGAGGTGTGGATGTTTTTGAGTGGTATCCCCTCAGGGACCTGGAGGGAGACAGGAAACAACCCAGCCAAGGGAGCAGAGTGGGGGTCCAGGCAGGAGAGGCTCAGGACGAGAGATCTGAAGGAGTGCTGTATGGCCGTGGGGACCTGTGCAGATTGTGACTTGAAGCCACTGGAGTGATATGTGGCCATGGGAAACCTGTACAGGTTGTGATTTGAAGCCACTGAGTCTGTTGAGGCCTTTTGTGAGCTGCTGCTGGCTGCATGGGTTGTACTAACTTGTTCTCAGGAGCATAGCTGAGCTAAGAGTTTCCTTCCACCTTGGTAGGGTGACTCACTGTCCTTACCTTGCTGACTTTGCTGAGCCAGTTGGTAAATGAGCACTCAGAAACATCAGCTTCCCCGCACTCCCACCTTCTTGCCTCTGCCCTGGTATCGATGTCGGCAGAGTTGGTTCTGGGATTCCCTCTTCCTCCCTCATCAAATGGATACTAAGAGTTCAGTGTCCTTGTGTGCATTCACAGGACACTGGGTGTGACAGTATGAATCAAAGACACTTTGAGTATTCTCTGCTGTGTAGATTGCATTGCCAGGAGGTTGCTCATGTATTTAGGGACAGTGCCTACCATGGGTAGACGGGTGAAATCTGGGATCAGCATTGAGGCCTTGCTCTGTTGGAGATCCAGGGTAGAGTTGTCAGTGAGCACTGCTCCCCCTCCTCATGGACTAGGCTCTCGGTGCCTTTCGCCTTTCAGAAGCCAAGTCTTGTCAGGGGCGCTCGTGTGTTCAGTTTCTGCTGCTGGGCTACAGATAAAGGGTTATTGCAAGAGTCTATGATCTTAGCACTCAGAAGGCTGAGGCCGGGAACATTGGAAGTTCAAGACCAGTCTGGACTACATAACCAGAGCCTATCTCAGACAAAACACACAAAACAAATAAACAGACAAACTACAAAACTGGCTCTGGTTTGTCTTGCCAAGCACTGTCTCTTGCAGGACTCCGGAGGAACCCTCTTTTCCTGTGTTGTGTTGTAGTGGCCTTCTGCTGCAGATTCCAGAATGCAGAATCTGAGAAACACAAAGCCAGTGCTCAGCACCAGCAAGCAGCTGCATAGCACCAGGATCAGCCTGGGATGGTCTCTACCACTGAGGCCCGGAGCCCTACACTCAATTCTGAGTGTGCATGCTTAACAAAAAATGAGAAAAACAAAACCGGACCAGACCTCACCATGCAAACCTAGGTACACCCATTCAAGTTCTGGGTGGTTTTTGTATTTTAGGTAACAGGAGACTGGTTCCTGTGCTTTACTCTGGAATTTTCACCGTTACACACTTTTTTGCACTAGGAGCTTTTCTAGAACATGGAAGGAAAGTGTGGGTGGAAGTACCCAGTGAGGAGAATGAATTGGTTGGGTCTGAGTCAAGTCAGGGTGGCAGAATGAGGTGCTGGGCCAGATGCAGGGCATGAGTCTGCCCTTGAAGCACCCGGGCCTCAGAGCCCTCTGTGCCATCTGCCTCTAATTTGATGGGAGGATTAACTGTTCTTCCTCAATTCTGTGCCACTGGAGACTCCAGGAAGCTATGGCTGTGACTCAGAACGACTGGAGGGTTTCTTCTATGCTTTTAAAGTGGCCTTGGGCCAGAGCTGGTTTTGTGTAGCTGGCAGTATTTGATTACTATTTGTGAATAACCTATTCTTGTTTCTTACTCTTAATAAACGAGGGGAAAGATGTGTAATTTAAGTGAGGGTGGCATGTAGGACACTGAGGTGGCTCACATAGAGGCACTCACTGAACTCTGGCACCTGACAATGCCCCTCTAGCCTGGCTAATCCCCACATGCAGCCTCTGAGGTTTTTGAATATTACTTGTCCTTGTAGGAATGGTTTCATGTGCCTTTCAGGTAGGTTGCTGGAGAAAGTGGACTAACACACTTGCTGAGCACTGCAGTAACCAATGGGTGAGCTCCTGTCAGAAACCAAGCAACTTTCAGACAGAGGGGATATAGGCTCACCCAAGTGGCTCTTCTGTTTGTCTCTCATGCCTGTCTACTTGTATCTATTCCCCCTGCCCACAGTATATACCTTTGAGCTATGCTGTGCTGCTGATCATGAAGAGGCCACTAGGAAACCCCACCACTTCTTGGGCCTGAGCCTGGACAGAACCTCTGCAGGGCCAGGTCCCTGGCAGTGTGAATAATGGTGTCATTTTAACATCCTGGAGAAAGAAGAGTATACATCTCTTAAAAGGACCCCCTGAAGTTACCTAAAGGGTGCATTTGATGCTGGTGACTAGAAGACAAGGCAGGAAAAAGCCAGGAACAGCTTCCCTTACAAAGTGTCCCTTCTCTGGGTGAAAGTCAAAGAGGCTGCAGCCTAATGTGTATTTATTATAATAATGAGGGAGGTGCTGAGTCCACCTCATGCCCCTGCAGAATGACACTTCACCTCCCTCCCACATAGGGTGTGTGTGTGTGTGTGTGTGTGTGTGTGTGTTGCCCTGACTGTCCTGGAACTCTTTGTAGATCAAGTTAGCCTCAAACTCAAGAGATCTGCCTTCCTCTGCCTCTGCAGTGCTAGAATTAAAGGTGTGTATCGCTATGCCCAGCTACACTTCACTTAAGAGTAATCCCAGCAAAAGAACCTGATAAAAATCTCTACCTATGCTACTGTTATGGGAGCTCAAGGGAATGTGTTGGATTTGGGCAGGATGTTCCAGCTGGGTACCTGGTGGCATTAAGAGCATGTGTGAGTTATTTGCTGTGACTGTGGCGGTGTGTTGGAGTAAAAAAGAGAAGGAGTCTTGTAACCATGGTTTTGGAAGTTTGCAATCTGAGTTCTAGAACTGGGAAGGGATTTGAATAAATCATTTTACACAAGAGCTGATAATTACTGACACAGACACAGTGCACATGTAGGAAGTTGATTTACCTTTTCTGGTGTGTATGCACACATGCATTTGTTGAATTTCCCAACAAAAACATTGAAGGTAAGAAAGGAGATCTACGACTGCTCCTCTCTGCAGCAATGGCTTGTGCGTCCCTTGGTGGGGTAGAGTGTGTCAGTTAAGACTGCTAGCCTAACTTTAAAAGTAGTTGCACTGCCTTGGGCCCACCAGGTCCGTCTGATTGCTCCATGCTCTACTTGGTGTCTCTTGTAGTGTCCACTACCAGCTGCAGACAGTGCTTCTGGTTCCTGCATGTCCACCCAGTAGGAGACTGCAGCATGGCAAGCTGCTGAATGACTGAAATTTCGGCAGAGATCTATTTTCTTGGTGAACAGTGGTGGACGATACCTCTAGCTTTGGTTGAGAAGTTATTCTGCTTTCCTACCTCATGAACAACATAGAGGGAGGTGCAGAGTGGTTTCTCTGGGGCAGCTGGTGCTTATGCACATGCTGCCTAGGATATGGCTTGGTGCTGGTGACCCTGTTCAATGTCCCATTTTGCCTTGTAGACTGGGCTGCTGCCATCCGTGTCGCTGCTCTGGACTGTGCAGAAGAAAAGAACCAGGACGTATGCCGCACATATGACATCCACTTCTACCCCACCTTCAGGGTGAGCCCCCAGAAACCTTGACCTCTGCTCCAGTCCTGCCTTTTTCACAAGGGGCTTTTTAGGCAGCATCCAAGGTTAGCATCTCTGGCCTGACTGAAGAACTTGTGGGAATCTGCATCCCCAGCACATTGGTTCCTCATCCTGAGTCACAGGAGGCTCTGATCAGAGCCAGGCACAGTGTGAAGCCCTGCTCACACGGAAGCCTGTTGGGTATGCATCCTTGTGGGCTGTCATGCTGCTGGCTCTACTGTCACTGGCAGAAGGCACATGTTCCTTGAAGTGGCTCTTCCAGTACCCTGCTGCCTGGGCTGCAGTTGGCTCTGCTGACAAACTTGTACATATTTCTTCCACTAGGGGGCTACCTGAGACCCTGCTGAAAGTCTGCTGTTTAGTGTGTGCATGACTGTGTGCACATAGACTTGCATTTGAACATCTTCCACTCACGGCATCTCCAAAATTATGTAGCACTTTGACTCTTCTTCTTCTTCTTCTCCTTCTCCTTCTCCTTCTCCTTCCCTTTCCCCTTCCTCTTCTTCTTCCTCTTTCTTTCTTTCCTTCCTTCCACTCCTCCTCCTCCTTTTTTTTTTTTTTTTGGACAGGGTTTCTCTGTGTAGCCCTGGCTATCCTGGAACTCACTTTGTAGACTAGGCTGTCCTCGAACTCAGAGACCTACCTACCTCTGGCTCCTGAGTACTAGGATTAAAGGTGTATGCTACCATGGCCTAACTTGGAGTTAATTTCTGAAGAGCCTGTGACTGCAGTACCTCTATTCTGTTAACAGTGCACTCTCAGAGGCAGTCCCCTCCCCACAGCAGTGATGCCCCCTGTTTTTCCCCACCCATCCATTTACTGGATTTTGCTACTATAATGCTCAGTGTGGTTCCAGCCCCAGGGACCTCACAGGCACTTGTTGCTTGTTTTCTCATTTTCTGGCCTGATAGTGTCAACGTATTTCTGTTTTACTTGGCTGTTAACGTCATGCCCTCCATTAAACAGTGCTGTATGTACATGTCTGGGCCTTCTTTCTTATACTTCATATGACTCTGCCAAGATTTACCCATGATGCTGGGCACTGCTGTGGCTCATTGGGTTTGGCTGTGCAATAATATTTCACTGTGTGTGATAACCCTCTCTGCTGCGTGTTGGGCTATCTCCTGACTTTTATTACATGGACTAACATTGCTGTAAGGGTCCCCTCAACTTGTGACAGGTTTTCCTGGCTGAATCTGGGAAGAAGGCCAGATGACCCAGTATAGGGCCTCTTCTACAATATAACACATCTTTCCATGGTTCAGGGCAAAGGGCCTGTGCTCCTTGTTTTCCTAGTGACAAGCACATTTGTGTTTTTATTCTTACAGTGGGACTGTAAAGATGTCTGTCCATTTTCCTCTTGACTGCTTCTGCTTCCCCTTGGAACTACAGGGAGTCCTCTGAGTATCTCCCACAGCCCTGGCCTCCCTTGACCTATGTTGGGAATACTCCTTGTCCTTAACTGTTGTTGATGTGCTTCTGATGGGACAGCCCTGGTCAGAACCTCTAGTCTTCTCAGGCTCTGGATAGCTCCTCTTGTCCCTGGAACCTGTGCTGTCAAAAATTCAAGGGACACCACCTTTGTAAGGATCCCACTCTAGTGAGTTGTCTTGCTTCTGACCCTGTTGGGTTAGATGTGACATAATGGAACCCAGTTTGTGCTTAGCACACAGCTGCAGGAACACTCATGTCCATAGAGGCATGGAATGCATTTTGTTCAGTCAGTGTAACTCTGGGAGGGACCTGACCAGAGCTTCTGGTTGAGACAGCAGTCATCTCACTTAAGTATTAGACACATGCACAACTCCTCTACGCTCGCTCTTACTTGTTCTGTGTTTTTCCTTTAGTATTTTAAAGCATTTACAAAGGAGTTTACAACTGGAGAAAATTTTAAAGGTAAGGACATGCAGATTTTATTTTAACCCTTTAGACTGGTGAAGTGAATGTGGCCTCAGCAGATGGAGCCCAGGGCCTCCTCCATCCTGTCAGCATGTTTGCACTGGTGCTGCCTGACTTCTGTGAAAAAGTTAAACCTTAATAGTTTGGGTGAAAATAAAGATTTTTAAAATTTTTTTTTTTAATTTTATTTGTGTGTGCATGTGTGCCCACCCACTTCTGTCTGTCTGTCCTTAAAGGCCAGGGGTGTCAGATCCTCCTGGAACTGGAGTTATAGGAGACTGTGGACAATCTAACATAGGTGCTAGGAACTAAATTCAGACTCTGGAAGAGTGGTGCATGTCCTTACCCGCTGGGCCGTCTCTCCAGCCCCAGGAAATTCTTTATTTTGTGCTTTTCCCTCCTTGGGAAATGTGGAAGTCCATTTTTTGTTATAATTTTTATGAAGCTTGTGCTCTGACTGTTTCATTCTGCTCACTTCGCTCTGTACCTCCCAGCCTCCTATCTCTTCCTTGCAGGTCCTTTTCTCTCCTTCATGTGGTAACAATTTGATTGAAAAAGTATCTGGTGGAGTGTGTGTGTGGCAAGTGTGTGGCTCATGGGTTTTTCTGTGAGCCTGACCAAGTGAGAAATGCTTCACAGGCCGTCCCCCGGGAGACACCTGCCATTTCTGGCATCAGGAGTCGTTTGCCTGTGTTAGCAGTGTATATGGAGTTAGCTGGTACACCTGGCCACCTCTCACCCCCATGTGTGTGAGATTTGTTCCTTTGCCTTGTGTCTTGTAGCCTATCTGCTCTCAGCTGTGTGGTCTCCCACTGTGTGCATCTGTTGTTGACCAGGATATAGCCTGTCAGTGAGCAGCAGTGCACTCAGGGTTGTATGGATAGTGCTCCTGCCTTCACTGTCCTTGGGCTCTGGGATTGGGACGGCTGCTTAAGCACAGGCACCTGGAGCCACACCATGACCCAGGTTTTCTTGTGTAGGACCTGACAGGGAGTTGCGGACAGTTAGACAGACAATGATCGACTTCCTGCAGAACCACACTGAGGACACCAGGCCTCCTGCATGCCCACCCCTGGACCCTATTCAGTGAGTAGCTGCATTGAAAGATGGCCTGCATTGAAAGATGGCCTGTGGGGCCCTGAGCATCATGATAGTAGCACTTAGCAAGTGGGAAGCCCTGGCCCATCCCTCTTCCCAAGTTCCTGGTGCAGAGTGGGCATGGTGTGTATAGTGACTGGGGGACTGGCATGCTGTGACAGCTGTGATCATGGATGGCTGTGACGGTTTCTCTTTTTTCTGACAGGTCCAGTGACATCCTTTCCCTCATGAACAGCCACAGTGGCCAGTACCATGCTGTTGTGTTTGAAAGCAATGGTTCTTATGTTGGACGAGAGGTACCATGTCTCATGTACTTTGGGGCTACAGCTGGGGTAAAATATCATTAGTGCATTGCTAGCAACAACCTTGAACCTTGAGCTGTCATTGGTTACAGAGATCCTAAGTAACCAATCTATATATAGCAGTAAATAAATAAATAAATAATAAATAAATAAAATGCTGGAATGAAAGGACTTGCCTTTTAGGGTCCAGCCATAGCTGTGTCTTTATCAAGGCCGTTAATTTCTTTCACACTATTACAGATCTCCTATGTACTGTGTTACCACATCCAGGAATCTGTAGGACCTTACTTCTTTTGTGAGATGTTTGTGTCATATAGGTGGTTTAGAAGCCTTCAAACCAGGGGACCAGAGACCCAATTGCTAATACCAGAGTCCCTTGAAAACAAGAAAACCTCCTGACCCACAGGGAAGTTCAACCTGACCTTTGGGCTCCTTTCTGCTGCTTGAATGCAGTTCTCTAGGTTATCTGGGCAGTTCAGGAAGGAGACAGCATTGCCCTTGGTAGGCCCTGGAGGGTGTGTGGCAGGCTACAGACAACAGTGTGGCAACTGTGTGTGCCTGGCTGCCCTTTGGGACCTCACTGCCCTCCCTCCAAGTTTGGTAATGCATGTTATTCTTTCCTTTATGGTTGGCAGGATTCCCAGTCAAAGGACTATGGAACAGCAGAGCCCAGAACTCATTCTCTTCCTACCTTTCCCTGTATGTCCTTATTCCAACTCCTTTCCTTACGGCCTAGAACCACTGCATGCCAGCTCTTTCAGGCCCTTTGCCCTTCGTACATACACACATGGACACTTACAAGCCGAAAACAGGTTTTCCTCCCTGATGACCCTCTCTGTCGTGACAGCACATCAGTGCCTTTGGGATCAGTGAGGCTTGGTTCTCTGGGTAGGACCTGTGACCAAGTATGCCCTGAGAGTTAGTATCAAGAAGAACCTTTGTGGCCATGTGTCTAAATTCCAGCACTCAAGTGGCAGAGGTAGGCAAAAGTCTGTGAGTTAAGATCAGCCTGGACTACATAGGAGTTCCAGGCCATTGAAGGCCACCCGATGTCTCAAAAACAAACAAAACAAAACAAAGACAACTACTATCACCACCACCACCTCTGCCACTGCTACCATCACTGCCACCGCCACCACTGTGATCTTAGGGTACATCCACCTACATGTAATCTGCTCCTCACCCAGGAAGTAGCTGGCTTTGTTATCATCTAAGAACATCAGAGAACAACATTCCACTTGCCATGTGGTGAACATACGAAGGGTTTTTTAGACACTGAGATGGTATGCCCATGGTCCCTCTGTGACTAAGACCCACTGCAGTTCCTTCAGCCTAAGCAAGCCCAGCAGGTATAAGTCACTTGCAAGAGCTACCCCAAACCTCCTGGCTCAGAGCTAGAATGTTGAATAGCCTGTTAGCCCCAAAAGGTGGGCTCACAGTAGACAGTGTGTTGGGAAAACAGGGCTGTAGCTGATGAGTGGAAAGGTACTTACTCGATTCTTATAGATCCTGTTGCAGACAAATATTTAATAACAAATGTTACTTTGGGAGCTGGAGAGATGGCTCAGCCATTAAAAGCATTGACTGCTCTTCCACAGGTCCTGAGTTTAATTCTCAGCAATCACATGGTGGCTCAGAACTGTCTGTAATAGGATCCGATCCCCTCTTTTGGTGTATGAAGACAATGACAGTGTACTCATATACATAAAATAAATCTTAAAAAATGTTACTTTGGGGGCTTGGTTACTTTATGGTTCCCCCCCATAAAGTGCTTGTTTTGCAAGCATGGAGACTTGAGTTCCATAATTCCAATGTTCAGTAGCCTGAAGCAAGCCTATCTCTGGGGTTTGCTAGCCAGCCAACCTGCCTACTTGGTAAGCCCCAAGCTAATGAGAGACCCTGTCTCAAAAACAAAGTAACTGGTAACTAAGTCATTATTCAGAGGACACCTAACATTATCCTCTGATCTCCACATGCATCCACATACACACATGAATACATACTTACACACACACACAGATGGTCAAGAAATATTTCTTTTGATTATTTTGGAGATTGCTAAATGAGAGTAGTCATGTGGCATGGTGAGCTGCTTAAACCACAGTAAAAGTTAAGGTTCCCGACTGCTTTTAATCGCAGTGGGAAGGATGCAGACTGTTGCTGTGCCCCAGTCATATGTAGTTGGTACAGTACTGCATGTCCCATCACCCACCTCTTTGCAAGTAGAACAAGGTTCTCCACGTGTGTGGTGCAGGTGGACAGAGCTGTCATCTGAGCAGCTTGCACCTGTGAGATGAAGGGTGGCCTGTGAAGTGGGTGGGTCTGCACACTCTAGGATGTTTTCCGAGAAAAGCAGGGCAATAACATGACTTCTTGTTCTGCAGGTGATCTTAGATTTGATCCCATATGACAACATCATGGTGAGCAGAGCACTGGATACGGACAGAACATTTCTGGGGACACTTGGCATCTCTTCAGTTCCTTCCTGTTACTTGATTTACCCAAATGGGTCTCATGGAGTAGTTAATGTGTAAGTGCTAGTTCGTATAATGAGTAGGCGAGCATTCATAGGTAAGGTCTGCAGAGACTTGCACTGCACTGGCACACTGGATAAAGGCCAAGATGGAAGGAAGTCATAGTCCTCTGGCCATCTTCCCCAACCTGCGATAACCATGCTCCAGGCCCCAGAATCTGGAGGAGTTGTTGCCCCTGGTTGTTTCCATGAGTTTATGAGCAAACCCTGAGTGCAACAGGTGTCTATTGACTCCTTCTGTGGTAGGACTGGGCTTTTGTTTGTGTCTGTTGTGTGGCCAGCAAACTCTGTAGAGTGAGGGATTGGGGTGGGCACCAGGCACCAGGTCAATAAAGTGACCTTGAATGAAGCTTCAAAAAGCAGAACAGATGTGAGAGTTACCTAATGACTGCAGGAGCCTTTGCAGGCTCTCAGCCACACCCATGGTTCTTTAGCTGTATGCAGGTTAGCTGGTAAAGCTCTTGGTTAGCATCCGGGAAGCTTGGGTTTAATCCTGATACTGCATAACTAGGCATAGTGGCTCATACTTGTAATCTCAGCATTTGTGAGGTGAGGCGGGAGAATCAGAAGTTTAAGGTCATCTTTGGCTACATAGGGACTGCATGACATCCTCCTTCAAAAAGGAAAAGAAAGAATAGAAGTCCAGGGCACCGAAGATCATAGAACTTCTTGGGATGGGCCCTGAGAATCTGAAGGTTGCCCTAACAGTTACTCCAGTGACTGCCATTGGGTTCTGATGATAGTTGTATGTATACTTAGCACAAGCATGTCACATGTGCAATCTCTAACACAAAGCCACATTAATACTATACAGTCATACTACTGTATTCTCTGCAAGGGACATTGATAGCTTCTGAGCGTCAGATAGCTTGGGAGGAGCTGACCCTAGGCCTGGCCTTTAGATATGGTTCAGCTGGCAGAGCAAGCATGTCATGAAGGCCCTCTGGTCCAATGGAATCATAGCCAGGATGAAACTGATTTTGGTAGATACTCCAACAGCTTTACAAACATCTTAGGGTTCCAGCAAGTGTGGATGAGCTTACTGCAGCTCTAAGTCAGTGATGCTCTGGACTTGATGTTCTGTTTCCTCATCTCAGATGGGAGGGTGGCTGCTGAGGCCCTGCTGACATGAGCATCCTTCACCACCTTTGTAAGTGTATGCACAGGGGGAGTGGCCGAACAGCTCTCCTCCAAGCTGTGGCCTGGAGAGGCTGCATCATCTTGATAGCCATAAAAACATCCCTCTCCTTCTTCCTTTCACAGCGCAAAGCCTCTACGATCGTTTTTCTCCTCTTATTTAAAATCCTTACCAGATGTAAGGAAAAAGTCACTTGCCTTGCCTGAAAAGCCCAACAAAGAAGAAAAGTCAGAGGTTGTGGTTTGGAAAGAATTTGACAGGCAAGTATGAGTGGGACTGGGTGCAGCAGAGAGGCCACCCACTGGGGCAGCTTCCTCAGCATGGGAAACAAGAGGGGCCTTGTACAGGAAGACAGGAAGTAGTTTTCCTAACCCTTCACTGCTCCTCTCAGGGCCAGGTTGTACACTGCAGACCTGGAGTCGGGACTTCACTACCTGCTGAGAGTGGAGCTGGCTGCCCATAGGTCCCTGGCTGGAGCCCAGTTACAGACATTCAGGGACTTCATGACTGTTGTTGCCAAGGTATGAGTAGTTCTGCTCAGACTGGTACTGGGTTCCATTTAGTATGGGCTAGGATCATCTTTCTGCTGATGTGGATGATTGGCCAGCCTAGACCCTCTGGTATCGACTGGTATATGCCTGTCAGGGAGGAGCAGAGGAGGCTGAGATCAAGGAGCAGAGCACGTTGAGCTACTCCCCTACTCAACTTGGGCAGTTCAGCAGGCTGAGGGAACCAGCAGACAAGGCATGAGGAGTAAGCAGATTGTATAGATAGAGACGAAATGTATAGATACGAAAGGTGGGGACCTGCTCCTAGGCAGCTTCAGACTGGGGTTCTAGGGGAGCTGGGTGTCCAGGGGTGGGGAAGGTCATGACACAGCACAACCTACCATGTCAGAGTCACGTTGAAAAAGACTGGCCAGCATAGCCACAGTCTCCCAGAAGCCATGTGAGGGAATTAGTTCTATGCATAAGTGCTGAGCAAGGCTAAGGGGCAACTAAAGGGATACCTAAGAAAGCTATGCAGGAAGGCCTATAGGTGTGGCAGGTATGTGCTCCATGGACATTCTGGCTCCAGTAGGTGGCCTCTCAAGGGGTTGGAAGAAAAGCCCTAAGTTGGAAACTTCAGATGGCTGGCCCCTGAAGAACAGGACTTTTGCTCGGCCGAGTGGGAATAGGCAGGCAGAAGTCCAGAGATAAGACAGGACAGAGTGGTTGGCATCCTCAGAAGACCTAGGTGGGCTAGGACCACCTCCATCATGGTAACTTGTGACACAGGCTCAGTTTCCTACCAAGTAATTATCTCTGGTGGCCAGAGCATGGGGGAGGAGATCGCCCTGCCCTCTTCGAATGAGCCTGAGCCCTCCTGTTGCTCTGTCCAGCAGTGTTCCTGCTGCGCTCTGGTCACAAGTGCAGGGCTAGACCCTCCTTACCTTGTACTGTGTACAGATGGAGCAAGCTATTTTACAGGACTTTTTTTCCTAGATGGAAGGTCTTTCATCTAGCTTTTGTCTAGCTAATTCAGTTGTAATCATTTACATTTATAGTGTAACTTCAGAAAAACAAAAGAAATAGAATTTATGTTTCAAGGAATAATGGGTCAAATATTTCCATGGAAGTGGTAGATAAGTTTTTAGTCCACTGTGCCATTCAGGGTTGAGATGGCTCTGAATGGCTTTGTTTTATAAGAGTCTACCCAGCCAGGTGTGGTGGAGCATGCTTCTGATCCCAGCACTCAATTGGCAGAGACAGGCAGATCTGTGTGAATTTAAGAGCAATCTAGTTTACATGTTGAGTTCCAGGTCAGCCAGGGCTACATAGAGACCCTGTCTCAAAACCAGAACGTGTTGGGCTAAGCTGTCTATATGTCTCACTAGACACTGCTGCCTGGACTGACTCCCAGCCTGCACACTCACTCCAGGCACTGACCTTGTCTCCATGAGCATGTCTCTCCACTGTTGCCCTCCTGCCTTCTTTCAGTTAGAGACTTGAGGATGTGCCATATGATGGTAACAGTTCCTTAAATCACAACAAAAGTTACAGTTGTAAAATTAACAGATGTAATGCTTTTGTAATGAGTACATAAAAATCTATCTAAAAGCCAGGAGGTGGTAGCTCATGACTTTAATCCCAGCACTCAGGAGGCAGAGTCAGGCAGATTTCTGTGAGTTCAAAGCCAGCCTGATCTACAGCATGAGTTCTAGGACAGCCAAGGTTATACAGTGAAACCCTGTCTAAGCCTTTATTTTGCACACATAAAAGAGAACAATGGGCAGTGGTAGTGTATGCCTTTAATCCCAGCACTTAAGAGGCAGGGGTGGGGGAGGATCTCTGTGAGTTCAAGGTCAACCTGGCCTACAGAGGGAGTGTCAAGACAGAGAACCTGTCTTGAAAAACCTAGACAGACTGAGAACAAACAATAGACTATCCAGAGAGAAAGAGAGAGAGGACAAACAATAGACTATCCAGAGAGAAAGAGAGAGAGGACAAAC